GAGAGAGAGAGAGAGAAACAGAGAAAGAGGAAAGTGGTAACGAGAGCATAGCGATGAACCTTTTGGGATAGGAGAGCGCGGACCACCTGGTTGGCGACGTCGTCCAGGCACCGCTCGTATTGCCGACGCTGGGCGTCGGCGTCCCGTGCCAGGGCCGCGTGCTCCGTCTCGAGGGTCGCCAATCGTGCCACCAGCGTGGCATGCACTTCACCGGCGCATGCTGCCTCGAGACCGCGCAGCTGACCTCGCATCGACTCGTTCTCCAGCTGCAGCTTCGATATCTGCGCCTGGTACTGGTGCACGCGCGCCTGCAAACAGAAGTATAAAAATTATTTCTGACACGTTTCCGCCTCTAAATTATGAAATGTAGAGACACGAGTGGAGACACGGAGGATACAAAGCTGTTTTAATGAACAATATTATCCAACGTAATAATACGGCGACAAGCATAATCCGGGATTTGTTACGGGAATTATTTTGAGTCCGCGTCTAAAAAACGAACAGTAATAACTCTAATTACGATATACTATGATAATGCGGGATAATTATTGTTACCAGGGCTTTATTAAAATTACATATTATTATAATGATAAGGATTATCATCTAACTAATTAACGTTGCATGTAATAATAATTATTATAATTTGTATTTAGATTATATATAATGGTATTTCCATAATCTAAAATTTTCTCCCTTGCTAGTCTAGTTTTCAAAATATGAATTAAAACATAAATTAATTTTCAAAACTACTGAAAGCTAATAAAACAATTTCGTAATGCATTTAAAACAAAACTTAATTAAAATTCAAGATTTAATTTCTAGAAATTAATGTATAAATCAATTTCTGAAATCATATCACAAATATGTTACTCGATATTTTAAAATTAATATTAAATAAGATAAAAGATAGCTCTAATCTTGTCAATCTGGCTTTTCCAATTTTTACAACATTTATAAGTCATTAGATAAAGTACAAGACAAATTATCATTCGACCGGACATTTTCAGTACATATATATATATATAT